TTACAAACATTATTATTTTGAGTATCTTGATCATAACAACAGTTAAAAATACCGTTATCTGACAAGTGTTGTATTTATATTTTTTAAAAATATTTAAAAAAACTTAAAAATTACAAAAAGACTCAAATTTCTTTCAAATTATAAAATCAAAATTTTAAAATCTCTAATTTTAATTATCATTTTCAAATATCTTTGGTTGTTGCCTCTATCGTCGTCTATCTACTGACTGACCATCATCTTTATCTTCATTCTAATTCTTAAATATATAAATTCCTAACCCTAATTTAATAGGTGGGAGATTTAATAAGAATTTATATTATGAGAGATTAGTACGAAAGGAAAGAGAATTTGAGATTATTAGGGAGATATTTGTGCATATTAGAAGAAAATTTGAGATTATTAGGAGAGGCATTTATGCATGGAGGGAGGGGACTATGAGTAGGGATGGGCATAGACCCGAACCCGATAGCTTTTGATCCGATATTATCTGATCAGGTCGAATTTTTAAAGGTGATGTTTGGATCGGGTTGGATTCGGGTTTATGGTGAAAATTTCTGACCTGACCGACCCAAAAAAATAATTTTACCTTATATATTTTAGAAGAATTACAATAATACCCCTCTATATATTATTTTTTAAGTTAAATCATCATTTTTATTGAATAAAAATAATTTTTTTTTATTATTTATGGTTGGATAGGATGAGTTCGGATTTTATCTCAAAAAATGGGTCGGGTTCGGGTCGAATGAATGATATATATTTTCGGGTCGGGTCAGTCGACTGAAGGATATAAAATTTTCAAGCCAGATCGAGTTGGCCCAAACCTAACCCATGCCCATCCCTAACTATAACGAGGAGTAAAGACGACGAGAATGAGAAATTAAAGTTGAAATATAGTTTTTTAAATATTTTTTTACTTTTTAAAATAAAACTTTTTAAAAAAATCATAACATATCACCTAATATTTTTTTAAAACTTTATTACGTTCAAAATATTTAAAATGATAATATTCATAATGTTAGTCACATACATTAATAAAAAAAGTGTTTATGCATCTAAATAGAAAAAGTTGTATAGTTTAAGCACTTTTATGTAATTAAGTCATATTTTAAATAATTAGTTTTTTGAGGTTAAATACAAAATTAATCCCTACTGTATGATGTTAGTTTGTTGGATCCCTTAACTATTAAAAGTTATAAAATAATTGTTTGATTATTCATATATTTCAAACATTATCTTTTTTGTTAAAAGATCAATGACAATATGAGTTGGCATTAACCTATTGACTTAGATATGATAAAATTATATTTTATGTCTACAAGCACCACCATTACTTTAAATATTGGTTCGCTGACATAATACAAACGAATACTCGATCTATAAAACACAACTGAAATAATTCTAGATTAAATTTTAATGAAAAATAATAAATTTAAAACATATAAATAATTATATGACTATTTTATAATTTTTAATAATAAAAAATAAATAAAATAACATGAGAGACCATATATATTTGACTCTGTCCAGAAAAGGAAAGGAAAAAATTTAAGAAGAAAAAAAAAGGAAAACAGGCTATTCGAGAGGGTGCGCATATTGAACTTAATGCGCACACTGGCGCACAATAGAACAGATGGAAACAAACTTCTCTTTGTCTTCACCGTTTCTGATTTCCCCGCGAGACCAGAAACACACAATTTTCATTTCCATTCCCCAAAACTCCATTCCTTCCACCGATCACTTCCTATAGTTCCTCCTCTGCATCCCAGTATGGCTCCAGCCACCATCATCAGCCCCCGCCGCCGAACCGAGGCACCTCGACGGCTTCCATCGCCTTCTTCGCCTCCGAGGAAGCTGAGACCCATATCCGAGATATTGAAGCGTGCGAAATACGCGGTGGTGGAGCGAGCTGAATACAGTGACATCTTCTGTGAACAATGCGGCTCCGGCGAACGTCCCGAAGAGCTCCTCCTTTGTGATAAATGCGATAAGGGCTTCCACATGAAATGCCTTAGACCCATTGTGGTTCGTATTCCTATTGGATCCTGGCTTTGCCCCAAATGCTCTGGTCAGAAGCCAATAAGAAGTAGGGATTTTTTTTTAAAATTTAGTTGTTTTGTTGCATTTTTCAATTCCCCCCCCAGTTTTTATTATAAATTTTGTTTTTAAAAGGATTTTCGCAGAAGAAGATAATTGATTTCTTCAAGATTCAGAAGACTGGTGATGGGAAAAAGAAATGTAGTCGAATCAAGGTAAAAAAATGTGCAATCTTGTATTATATTCGTCTTTTTTTTTTCGCGTTTCCTGTTGATTTGAGAATGACTACTATAATTGAAATTCGTTCATAAAATTCTCACATCGTCTCAGGGTTCATGCAAAATTTGAGTTTGAAAATTAGTATAATCTTTCAGTTTAAGGGAAGGGAGAAATTTGCTGAAAATTAAGATAGATTAATGGTAAAAAAATCTAGGACTTTTCAGGCATCTTGTTTTAATGGAAAAGTAATAACATTTTTAACTTGTTCATATTTCTATAATGTAATCGAAGTTCCCCGTGAGAGGTGAAAAATAATTGTAATTGTTAATTAAAAGCAGTTTGGTGCTAGTGCTCATACACCTTATACTAAAAAGCCCCAAAAACCTGAATGACTATGATCTCATGTTTCCACAAGTTGATGAATTAGATCTTTTATCCCACCTTTGCAATGTACTGTTTTCATGTTTAAATTATCATTTGATATATTGAATGCTTCGTGTGAGAAGCACTCATACATCCTTCATGCCTGCATATCTGTCTAAGTTAGAATATGTGATAACATTCTGCATATATGAATATGTCTTATCGAAAGATGGTGTAAAATATCACCTAGTTTCGATAAGATGCTTATTGAATGCCAGACATGGCTATTGGCTAGTTGCAAAGCATCACTACTTTTTCCATATTTCATTAATTTTACAGATTGCAAATGTATAAAGCATATAAAAGCAATTTTGAGAGGGTATATGACTATATTTTGGTTGAAATACTTATAAGGCCCCCGACCCTGTCAATTTTAAGATTAGGCCATTTCTTAACCACCCCTCCCCCCAGGGTGTTTTTACTCCAGTTCCGATCCTGCGCATGGGCCTTTTTATACACATCCTACTTGCATCCGGCACAGTGTGTGTGAGACCATGTTGCTAAATGATGGCCATCATCTATCCCTAGTTGACGAATATAAACTGATTTCCTTGTTTCTTCTTGCTGGACTTCTAGATACCCGAAAGCGTCGCAGGCGTTCTGTATCACTGGTGTTGCTAAAGAAACGAAGGAGACTCTTGCCATTTATACCATCTGAAGATCCTAATCAACGTTTGAGACAAATGGGCACCCTTGCTTCTGCTTTAACAGCAATGCAGATGAAATTTAGTGATGAACTAACCTACTCTTCTAGCATGGCCCCTAGATCAGCTAATCAGGCCAAGTTTGAAGATGGTGGCATGCAGGTTTGAATTTCATTAATTGTTTCATTTAGAAGTTCTAATTCTATTACGTTTTAGCTATGTTTATGCTGTTCTTTCAGGTTCTTTCGAAGGAAGATATGGAGACCCTGGAACTATGTAGAGCAATGAGTAGGAGAGGCGAATGTCCTCCCTTTATAGTAGTTTTTGATTCATGTGAAGGGTACCTTTAGCTTGAGATTGCGCTGCTGCAGTTATATTGCTTAACTGCATATTTAATATATTTTATTGTTCTGTGGTGCAGTTATACTGTAGAAACAGATGCCCAGATAAAGGATATGACCTTCATTGCAGAATACACAGGAGATGTGGATTACATTAGAAACCGAGAAAATGATGATTGCGATAGCATGATGACCCTTCTTTTAGCAACAAACCCATGTGAAAGTCTAGTAATCTGCCCTGATAAACGTGGAAACATTGCTCGCTTTATCAACGGCATTAACAATCATACCCCGTAAGCCTGTATAACCTATGTCATTGGTGTCAAATAGTGTCTCAGTTAAAATCATATTACTCAACTTCTGTTCTACTTAAGCTCTCATTGTGTAGCTTTTACAGCCTATTTTGTCTACTCATCTTCATGAGTTACAGAATAGCATTGTCCCTGATCAACCATGCTTATGACATTTATTTTTCGCGTAAGATTTGCTTTGGGCTTAACGCTTGAGCATTTCTCTATTCTTGTTTGTAGAGGACTGGATATACAAAAGAGGCCTCTGGTTTTCTGTTGGGATTTCATCCCTTGGGGTCTCTTGGTCGGGTTTCATATCCCCTTATGGTCTCTTGTGGGTGTTATACTCTAGGTTGATTAAAACATGTACAATTATGTGCAGGGAAGGTAAGAAGAAGCAGAACTGCAAATGTGTGAGGTACGGTGTGAATGGTGAATGTCGGGTCCTTTTGGTTGCTACTCGAGATATTGCTAAGGGAGAGAGGCTTTATTATGATTATAATGGATATGAGCATGAATACCCTACTCATCATTTTGTCTGAAGTTGGTAACAATCCTATAACCGAGCCGGAATGCAATTTTTTATCCTTATACATCTCACCTGCTTTTCTTTTCCTTTTCCTTTTCACAGCTTATTCATTGTTGGTGCAGCAGAGTCGAGAGAAATCTCATTGCATTGGCCATTTTTCTTAATGTAATTTATGATGTAAAAACTGGTCCATTTTTTCAGCCATTTGCTAAAGACAGCGTGGCTTAATTTTTTCAGCCATGGACTGCTATAGATCATCTTTCATACTCTATATATCCTTTCTCTTCTTTTGGCTACAAAGAATAATAGTTTCCAGTTATAGTCACCATTATAGTGGACAACCCATGTATCTTCCCATTATAAAGAAAAACACAAGCAATCAAAACATAATCAAATTACAAAATAGGGTATGCTAATACGATTTGCTGTCAACATCCATTGAGCGTAAGCTATTCAGGTTTGGGGGCATTGGGCTCATGGAAGACACGACGACAATAAGTCGAAAACAGCATCTCAATCAAGAGAGGGAACTGTAACAACGTAAGATAGCAATGGGAATGGTTGAAAGAACGATGAACGGGATCGAGACCCAAGCCAGTCTTGCTTGGAGGGTGATGAAAATGGCGGAGCCAAAGGAAATCATCATGGTCACAATGGAGAAGAAGAGGGTAAAGAGGCCAAGTATGGATTTAGCAGGAAAGGATTGAAGGAAGTCGTTCTTGGCGTAGTGTGACGTTAAAACTCCCAAGAAAACCAGCACGGAAGTGGATGAAGCAAAAAGGGAGATGGAGTTGGCGATGATGAACACCAGAAACGCATTTGATTTTAGGAAGATTGTGAACATGACAGCTGCGATGAGAGTGGCTACCACCATGCAAGACGCGGCGTTATTCTTCATCCATCTCTCCCCTTCTTTCATCAGCTCCTCGTGCTCGTAAGAAAATAATGACGCTGGTGTCCTATTGTTTTCGTTCAATTCTTCCTCGAATTTCGGGGGTAGAATCTTCCTCAACTCCTGATCAACGTTAACCAATAACATGCCATGTAAAATCACATATTGAGTAATGTAAATAGTGGGATAATTTATAGGAATGGTGGAAGCGTTTAGTTATTATTTGACAATTTTATTTTTATAATACTATTGATAATCTCTTCCTAATAAGAACATACAAACTGATTATTTCAGTTTTACTTCCTCATTTCAGGTGTATGTAGGGACGGAGTCAGGATTCCAATTCAAGGGGAAAAAGTATAATTAATCATAAAAAAAATAAAGGGAGCAAAGTATAATTAACCATAGAAAATGAGGGGACAAAATCAAAATAAACTAAAATTTGGAGTCCTAATTTAATATTTTCTCATATGTTGTTTTAATAATAAAAAATGAGGGGTAGTGGTCCCCGAGACAAAGGATAGTTCTGTCCCTGGGTGTACGAAGTTTAGAATGCTTTGTTAACATTAGGGGCGTTGAGTAGTGTAAATGATGGGATAATTTATGAGAGTCGTTGAGGTGAATAGTTGTTATTTGAAAAATTTTATTCCTACACTACTCTTATAAAAGTATAATCTCTCTCCTAACAAGAAGACACAAATTGATGATATTGGTTTCACTTGTGCGAAGCTTGGAAAACGTATTAATAATATTGGGGGCAGCGTCTACTCTTAGGATTACACTAATCTGGACCAAATTAATTTTTAGCACGACACAATAAATCTTATTTTCTTTGACTACTCTGATTAATGCTAACGCAACAGTAGCATTTTCTAACCAACAATACCAAGAATAGAGTCAGAGAGGTTTAATTAGGAAAAGAACATACGCACCTCAAACCATTGAAGCTCCCTTTGCATTTGCAGAGCAGCACCAGAGATATGATCAAGTCGGGAAGGAGGAGACAACTTGGCAGCAAGATGCAATAAATTATTACGAAAAATATCATGTTGAAGCAACGCCACACGCTGCTTTGAACCCAATCTAAGCACATGAGCGAAGATGCTCTCTTGGCGTAGGACAATTGCATTTGCAAAAAGGGTTCGACCCTTTTCATCTTTCCTCCATATGATTTCTGGGTAGAGTTTCATTATTTCTTCGATGAATTCAATCATGCCATGCTTGATTGCATCATAGATTGCCTTATCCAATCCAAACATTTCCAGTTGCTTCTTGTTTAGCCTTGGGATCTCTTTGAATATGCATCTTATGTGCTCCACGGCTTGATCGTGTGATAATTTTGCATCATGAATTTTCTTAATATCAGGCACTGCATTATAATTGCACATGCTTACCGGTTAAAATGGAGAAAACGCGAGCAAAACTCGACTTCATTCGAAAAATCAATATTTTCGAATTGTTTAAAAAAATTCGACTCGAATTTTTTTTAAAATTTGAATCGAGTTATAAAATAGAACTCGAATTCTAATTCAAATAACTCGAAAGAATATATATATATATATATATATAACCATTTAAATTAGAATCAAATAATGCCATAACATTATAAATATTTATAATTAAATTTAGGGTTTGATACCACCAAACTTTAGGTATTGTATCGCTTATAGCACTGAATTTTGATTTTCGTTTCAATTATACCACCGGACTGTTAAATCGTTCAGGGCATGATGATGTGACTAAAAGTTGCAGACATTAACCCACGATTATCTAAGTGACTGACGATGTCGTTTTGATCATTTTATTAATGGTTTAACGGCTCAGTGGTATAATTGAAACAAAAATCAAAGTTCAGTGTTATAATTGACAAAATTGAAAGTTCAATGGTATAATTCCCACAGTTCAGTGGTATTTGGTGTAGTTTACCCTTAAGTATAAATAGAAACTCGAATAACTCCTAATTTTTTTTTAAAAAAACAATTGAGTTATAAAATAGGACTCGTCAACTCGTATAACTTAAAAAATTGAGTCGACCCGACTAGATCGAACGTTAATTTTTAGGGGGGAAATGCAGAAATAAAGGAGATGATGTGCATACCAAGCCATTTTATAAGGTTCCGAATAAATATGATGAGAACACAATGGGTTTTGGCTCGACTTGCATTGGCATTGCTCTCTAAATCTCCCTCTGATTCACCACTGCCTTCAATTTCACTTTCTGATATGTTTATACCTGCAGATCGCAGAAACCTTTCTCAACAGTCATAGCTTTTGGATTGTATAGTTCAATGTTCGAAAAGACAATGTTATTAAACTCACATGTGTCGTAGTCCAACGTTTCCAGAAAACGAAGCTCTTGCCACTCATGAAAACCGAGGGTTGATGAGCCAACAACTTAATGGCGTAATTTCTGTTTATATCTTCTGTAACTCCAAGCAGTGGATATTTTTTCACCAAATGTATGACTACATCTACGTACACTCCATAATTAATTAATGTTGTATATATATGGACTAAGTCGTATTTACACCATAAAACTTTTTTAGTTATACACAGTTGGGTAAAGTACATAAATGATCCTCGGTTATAGGGTGTTGTTTTATTAAATTCACCGACTATTAAAAATTATTGAATTATCTCTTAACTATAGGCCATTGCTTTGTTGAATCCATCGACTATTAAAAGTTACAAAATAATCATATGACTATTCATATATTTTTAAACATGTATTTTTCCGTTAAAAATTGATGACCTTTTTGTATTCTACATCAACCTGCTGATTGAGATATGATAAAATATGATCCCGGAATCTTAAATGACTATACAACTCAAACGGTTTTAAGATCAGATTTTATTATATCTCAATCAGCAGGTTAACGTCCAGTTTAGACGACCATAAAATTTTTAACATGAAATGATGAGTTTGGAATATATAAATAATTGGATGGTCGTTTTGTAAATTTTAACATTCAAGGACTAAAGAGAACAACACATTTTGTAACTTTGAACAATAAAAAAATAACATCCTATTACCAAGGGATCATTTGTACACTTTACCCAATACAGATCCTAATGAGTGTTAAATACAAGATTAACAGAAATAAATGAAAAACATTAGTCGAAGGGAAAAAAACATATCATAATTGAACTCAAAATATGTTTATAGAACTCACCAAAAATGCCATCAACGATGAGGGAATTGAGAAGCGTGGCGCCACTTCGATCATCACTTTCTGGTTTGAATACTTCTATTGGAGTTTTGTGGTGAAGATGGCGAACCATTTCTTTAGCACTGAACAAGGACGCCACGACCACGGGGATGGCCCCGTGCCTGTTCTTGAGCGTCAGAAGATTGTCGTTTTTCTTCATCACCTTCACCATATGGAAGCATTCGTTGATGATAGCGATGGAGAAGGTTGTCTCCCCTATTTTATTTTTGATTTCGAGATCATCTTTTTCCATCTTCTCCACCAGTAACTCCACAATCTCTTTTTTTTTCGGCAAGAAACTCCACGTAAAGGGCGGTGTCGTCTTTCAATGTAATCTTTTCTCTAACGACATCGGGTGTCAGAGTTATGATCACATGCATATGAGTGCATGGATGAGATTTTATGTTATTGTATAGTTACAAGTTGTTAGTTTGTTATGAGTTAGTTACATTTCTCATGTATAAATAGATACTCTCTAGCTCAAGAGAGATCATGCATTTGTTAATGAAATTGCAGAGAGTTCTATCTTTCATTTGTTCATTTCTCTGTTTTCTTGAGATAACTCAAATGCTATCTTTTTGGTGCTCATTCCAGTGAAAAGATCTCTTCTCTCCGGCAAAATCTTCATTCTCAACGCAAGTCTAGATTGACTATAAGAGAATACATTGTTAAGGTCAAGTCTATTTGTGACTTGTTGAATGCCGTCGGGAGTGTGGTTACTGAACAAGAACATGTTAGTGTGGTGTTGGCTGGATTATCAATGGAGTTTGAATCCATCATTGCAATTACGTCACATGAAGCATTGTCTCTTGATGTGCTTATTAAGATGTTGTTAGACTGTGAAGCTCGACAGAAGGTATTCTTGAGCGAGGGTATTTCTGCTAACCTTGTTGTTCGTTCTAGAGAAGGTAGTGCTACTGAAATCAATACTCGTGGATCTCAGGATTCTTCTGCTGAGTCGTCACAGGGTCATGCATCTCGTGGTCAGACGAATAACTATCGAGGTAGAGGCCGAGGGCGTCATCAAGGTTCGAATCGGCCTCAATGCCAACTGTGCGATAGCTTTGGGCATATAGTTCAAAAATCCTATCATAGGTTTGATAGGGAGTACACTGAGGTGTCTGAATCAAATTCGTTAATTGAAAATGCTTCACAATCATCTACTGAGAATTTTACCAAACATGTACAATCTGGTAGACAACCATATGTTCATACCTCTATATCTTCACCTTCAACCTTTGTTCTCACTCCATTTTATTTTCCTTCACCATATGCTCCTGCGTACTATCCTTTTCTTGGTACTTCTCCTGGTTTTTTTCCAGATGCTTTTCGCTTCTCTCATGGTGCATCGCATTCCTCTTTGACTCCTGGTTCAGCAGCCTATATTGCTACTGCCCTAACTCCCTCAGGCTCTAACTCCTCTGTGTCTGCAGATTCTTTATGGTATCCTGACACCGGAGCTACTCATCATGTGACGAACGATTTGTCTGCTTTTCAATCAGGTACCATCTATACTGGAGATAGTTCCTTGCTAATGGGTAATGGTGAGGGAATTTCAATAACGCATGTAGGGCAAGGTTTTTTGAGTTCTAGTAAGAAACCTTTGATTTTACAGAACATGTTGCATGTGCCTAACATAAAGAACAAGTTGCTATCTGTTTCCCAGTTCACTCGTGATATTGGTGTTTTCATGGAGTTTCATCCCTCTGAATGTCTTGTGAAGGATGCTCGGACTTAAGTAATTCTACTTCAAGGGAGGCTCACGGATGATGGGTTGTATCAGCTGCTGCCTTGTGAGGATCAAAGGTCTCCTTGCTTGGTGAATAATGTCTCGAAGTCACCTGTGTCTTTGAAGTTGTGGCATCAGCGTCTTGGCCATCCATCTCTTGATATTGTTCAGCGTGTTTTGAAGTCGTGTAATATTGTTTTCAATAAAACTGAAGCAATGAATGTGTGTTCTGCTTGTATGCAAGGGAAATCTCATAAGTTGGCCTTTTGTAAATCATTGACTGAGTATAATGCACCTTTTTAACTTGTTGTTTCTGATATTTGTGGTCCAGCTCTTGTATATCCACTGACGGATTTCTTTATTATGTCTCCCTTGTTGATGTTTGTAGTTGTTATACCTGGATGTATCTCTTGAAACGTAAATCTAAGGTGGCTCAGTGCTTTCTTGATTTTGCAAAAATTTTTGAAGTACAATTTGGATATAAAATTAAAGCTCTTCAGACTGATGGTGGTGGGGAATATCAACCACTTCGGAAATGGTTCTGTGCAAATGGAGTGCAGCATCGTCTCTCGTGCCCTGGTACCTCGGAACATAATGGTAAGACTGAGAGAAAGCATAGGCACATTATTGAAACGGGACTGACCATGCTGGCCTAGGCTTATTTACCTCAGAAATTTTGGAGTTATGCCTTTGTCTATATTGTTTATCTCATTAATCTATTACCCACACATGTTTTGCATGGGAAGTCTCCATTTGAAGCTCTGCATCATGTCTTTCCAGATTATTCTTTTCTCAGGGTGTTTGGATGTGCTTGCTATCATTGCTTGCGTTTGTTTAATCATCATAAGCTAGATTTCAGGTCAAAGAAGTGCGTGTTTATAGGATATAACACTGCTTATAAGGGATATAAATGTCTCGATGATTCTGGCAGAATAATAATTTCGAGGCAGGTTATGTTTGATGAAAGTACTTTTCCTTATGAAGTGTGTAATGGTTCAAGTGTTGCTACATATAATGGTGTATCCACGGGTTTTATTCCTCTTGTCTCTCATGTACAAACAATGCATGTTCCATCTCATGCTCTAACAAATGCCCCATCAATGCGTGTTCCAACAGATGGTCCACCAACGCATGCTCCATCAAATGCCACGCCTAATCCACTAAACAGTCCATGTGTTTCTCCATTATCGCATGATGCTCCTCTAAATTCAACAAATGCTTCGTTGGAATCAACACATGTGCATATTCCACGTGATTCTCTAGTTGAATGTGCTTCTGGTGTTTTAAATACATGTGATGCGCATATTCAACAAATATCATATACTCCAATCAGTTCAACACATGGTGCTTTAAATATAAACAACTCACGTGGTCCCACGCCATCTCCACCAAATTCAACAATGTGTGCAAATGCCCAAACAATGCATGCAACGGCTCCACTAAGTGAGAATAATCCATGTGATACCCCTTCAACGCTTTCAGATCATGAAATTTTAATTGCAAATAGCCCACGTATTGCGCCATTGTCTTCAACGCATGCTCTATTCTCCACAACTCGTGCGCATGTGGAATTTCAATCAACTAATATGGTTGATCAAAGAAATAAAAGAGTTAGGACCACACCTTTTGCCGTGATGCCTACCGTCGAGGACCAAATATTGGATAATACGTATGTGCGTGCTACTTGTGATAATGCGCATGGAGCCACACCTAATTATAATATTGTTGGGACATGTACCCATAATCCAGGAAATAATATTATTGGAGATATACCTTTTGGAGCAATGGCAGACAGTGACGGTGTACATGGGGCTACTTCAACGGGTGACAATACGCATGGGGTTGTTTCAATTCAAAATGTACATCATATGGTTACCAGGGCCAAAGATGGCATTCGAAAACCTCGTGTTCTGCATGTTGAATACTTTGATGAAGAATCTCGGTCCATTAAATAAGCTATGAAGATTTCTCATTGGAAAAAAGATGCACAGGAAGAGTTTGATGCTTTGATTGCAAATAACACGTGGTCTTTAGTTCCTCTTCCTAAAGACCGTGTACCCGTCAATTGCAAATGGATCTTTAAGGTGAAACGTAATGTTGATGGCTCGGTGTCTCGATACAAGGCCCGTCTTGTTGTAAAGGGGTTTATTCAACAACTAGGGATTGATTACCATGAGGTGTTTAGTCCAGTTGTGAAACCTGTAACGATCCGAGTGATTCTTACTCTTGCTTTGACAAGAGGTTGGTTGCTGTTTCAAGTGGATATTAATAATGCCTTTTTAAATGGGGTATTGATGGAAGAGGTTTACATGACTCAACCTCCTGGGTTTGTGTAAGCTGGTGATGATTTAGTTTACAAGCTGCATAAAGCAATTTATGGCTTGAAGCAAGCTCCTCGGGCCTGGTTTGAGAGCTTTCGAGAGTACCTGGTCTCTGAAAGGTTCGATTTGTCTAAATCTGATTCTTCTTTGTTTGTTAGAAAATCAGAGAATAGTGTTGTCTACATGCTTGTATATGTAGATGATATTATCTTAACAGGGAGTGATGCCAGTGAGGTTCAGTGTGTTATTGAAAAACTGAACACTCGTTTTGCGATGCAGGATTCCCTTAGTTTCTTTCTTGGTATAGAGGTGTGTCATGATTTTGATGGTGTTGTCTTGACTCAACAAAAATACATTCATGAGTTACTGCATAAGCACAATTTTGGTGAGGCAAAGAGCCTCCCTACTCTGATGGCTTCTAATTGTAAGTTGTCAGCTGATGCTGGGGAACTTGTTGAAGATACGGCTCAATACAGAAGTATTGTTGGGGCTCTTCAGTATATTGTGATTACTAGGCCAGACATTGCGTTTGTTGTGAATAAGGTTTGTCAGTTCATACAATCACCGCGCAATAGTCATTTTCAGGCTGTTAAGAGGATTCTACAATATCTTCAATGAACAGCTGATTTTGGTTTACGATTTACTGCGACTTCACGAATGTCACTGACTGGTTTTGCAGATGCAGACTGGGGATTTGACCCTGATGATAGGCGTTCCACATCTGGCTATTGTGTTTTCTTTAGTGGAAATCTTGTTTCCTGGAGTTCACGCAAGCAGCAAGTTGTTGCTCGATCCACGACTAAAGCTGAATACAAGAGTGTGGCTTCTGCAGCTGCGGATATTATTTGGATTGAATCATTACTACAGGAGTTGTTTGTTGTTCCACATGGCAAGGCTACCTTGTGGTGTGACAATTCTAGCACGGTTCCGGTTTGTGCCAATCCCGTTCTGCATTCAAAGTTCAAGCATGTTGAGCTTGGCTTATTTTTTGTACGAGAAATGGTTGATGTTGGTCGACTGCAAGTCAATGAGGTTCCTGCTTATGAGCAGGTTGCAGATGTCTTCACAAAACCTCTCTCATCACCTTCTTTCCTTAGGCATAGACACAAACTCTTGGTCACTCAGCTGTCTAGAGGTTTACAAGGTTGAGGATATAGGGGGAAT